AAATTAGTTTCCCCTCCTAGTTTTCTAGTTTTTGCTCTCAGTCTTGGAGACATCACGAGGAGCCCAGGATGGATTTTTAAGTCTTAGCACTGAAAGGATCCAGCTCAGGCCTCACTCAGTAAACTGGGTGAATACAACAGATTAGTGCTAAGAGACTAATACAATACTATAATTTCATCAATACCTACACTAACCAAACTTTTCCATTTAAAAAAATATCCTGCTTTCATAGGCACTACTATCATGGAACATGCAGAGGTCGAGTTGGGGGACTCTAATTAGTGGAGATGAGACCTAACAGACAGTAATGAGCTACAGCTTTCTGTGTGTTAGGGAGAAACTATCCATAGAAGTGAAAACAGTTTTTCTTTTTTAACCTGCTGTAAACCTGACTTTTAATGCTAAAGTTGGACATTTTAACAGTTGAGTCTGTGGTACTTACTTTACGGCACTACTGTAGCATAATTTTCAGTTCTGGGAGGATTGATGGATGCATGGATGCATGGATGCATGACCACCATGACACCGCACTAGTTTTGCAAGTATTTTTTGCCTTTCCTTTCAGTAGTTATGCATCACTCACTCACAGACAACTTGACAACTGTCCATTGCACTAACAAGATACTCATTAATTGTCGCTGCCAGCTTGTTGAATTATGTTTTTATGTCTTCAGTTTTATGTGATTAGACTTCAAGCTGGTTAAGTCGAAGGTCTGAACCCAGGTTTAACTGTTCTTTTACGACATTTGTTACTTACATCGACTCTTTCCTTGGCTTGTATAAACTGTTACAGACTGAATGAAAGTTTTCAGCAAACCACACAAAATCCCCTAAGTATCCAATACCGATAATAATGATTTGTAATTTTTAATGTAAATTGATGAATTTTGTACTTCTAAAAAACGTAAAAGTTGCTACAAGTTGTTACAGCAGTTGTAAAACTGTACCTGGAGCTATTCAGGAAGAGCATAAAAGACTACTGGATTAAACTGTCTCATAAACACCTTCCCTTGTCTAGCTGACTCATGCTGGGATGAATCACCTGCTTACACAAACTTTTTAAATCTCAATAGAGAATGCAAATTCTTCTCCTTTCTCTGCAGGCGTCTCAAATCTGCCAGCTACACGAATGTTTTCGGCTCTGCTGCTCCCCGGAGTGATATTTAAAAAGAGGCATGCAAAACCCCAGATTGTCTCTTTTAAAGACTCGTGTTCACTGCCCAAAGAATCCTAAATCTCTGTAGCTGGGTCATGTGTGGTTGGGTTTAATTGATAAGCCCAGCCTAGAGGGTTTTTAATGGATGCTTTTAAAGGCTAAAGGGCATAAGCATAATCACAGGGCATACTGTTTAAGCTCCTCTTGCGCAATCAGCAAATTATGGCTTGTCTTCTTTTTCTTTCTCTCGCGGCATAAATGAGGGTTTTATGTGCAAGGGAAAAGAAATGTCCGTTTCCTGTTTGTGCTTTGGTATGCTCCAAAACATTCATTAAACACAGCCAACATCTCCGCTGTCATTTTTCATATCAGGGCTGTGTTATTGCAGTTCTTTCATTATCCTGAGAAGGAATTCAGTGTTTCCTCAGCACGTTTTTCTTTTTTCAGTTTGGTCTTCCCCCATCTTTTTTTTTTTTTTTAAATTGTCTTTTGAATGAAATGAAAACATTTGCTTTGTCATGGACAAAAAGGCCATTTTCTCCACGTCTACCCAAGCCCAGACCCTGTTGCTATGGAAACCCACAGTCTAACTGGCAGAGGCTTTGTGTTCCTGTGGTAGACTGTTACCTCACTGCTCTGTGTGTGTGTGTGTGTGTGTGTGTGTGTGTGTGTGTGTGTGTAATGGTTTTCCTTTGTTCTTCTTTTGTGTTCTCTTAGTGTTTCTGCACATCTGTGTTTGTGTGTGAAAGACTTTTGTGGGTGAAAAGTTTTGTTTTTGGAACTTTGTCCTGGAATTTCAGACGCTTCTTTTCTTTCTTTCCATTTACCCAGAGACATTCTTAACAGGATTACTAGCACACATAAGTACGCTGTTTAGGATGTTATGTGTTATCAAAGCTGGAAAAACGTTCTTTCCTGGGATGATTCCTGCAGACTTTTTGTCTGTGTTGCACTGAACGACTTGTCCAGTGATGCAGTAAAAATGCAGAAGGTTTTCTGATGTAGTTCAAGCTTCTCGTCCTGATCGTGTAAAGGACAAAATGGCTACAACGATCAGAGTTCTGAAGTCAAGTCAAACATGTTTAAGTACTTTGGCTTAGTTCAAGCAACCAGTGAAGTTCAATCATGTGACCATAGCCAACAGCCAAAACATGCACCGCCCCATCTTTGTATTCGCTTTTTCTTTTGGGCTGAGAAAATCGCTGCACACACTTGTTTCAGCTCTATTGTTCATCATCTTGTTCTTGAAAGTTTCACAAAGCAAAGAAGAGAATGGATGGAAAACCATTTTGAAATGAATCTCATTGTTGTTGTGAAAGAATTCAAGTGTTTGTGAAATGTTGTAGTGACTCAGAGCTCTGACTCTACTGTTATTTTCAGATAATCGAGTGAAAGTTCCAGACTTTCCGTGTGTGTGTGTGTGCATGGAAGCCAACAGTTAGTCTACACATACAGAGATTTAGGCTGCCACTAAAGATTCCCTCAAATTGTAGATCTGAGTTTTAAACATTTTTGACACACTGCTATTTCAGGATGCACCTATATTCATATCTGTTTAAATAAAAATAAAAAAAAGCCCCTGTGGTGTCTTCTTTTGATCGTACTGTCAGGTGAAGGCAGTTTTGTAGGCTTTGCAGGTCTTGTCTTTTCTTTTCTTTTCTAAAACTTGTGGTCATCACATTATCTTAGACATTTGCAGTCTAGCAAAAAATCTTGCTGCTTCTGTTTGGATGCACTACCCTTTGAAGCAGGTCGTGTTTCTTTCAGATTTTCATACAAAACCTAAATACCCCAAAATCACATTAACAGCCTCTATAATTGCATTTCACAGCATCAGATAAAAATAGCAGCTCATCGTACTGCACACAGTAACAAATGTTGGAGGCAACATGTTCAAAACAGCAACTTGACAGTAACTTACTGTACCGCGGCCATGTTGGAAAACAGTTTGAGCTGAGTACACACAGACACACACAGGTATCTACGTTATCACTAGGGCTGCCACGATTTGTCGACTAGTCACGATTACGTCGACTATCAAAATCGTCGACGACTGATTTAATAGTCGACGCGTCGTTTGAAGCTTTGTAAGATCCCAAAAGACGCAGGAATAAGTGGCAGGATTTAAGAGTGTAATAACGGACTGAAACAGAAGATGGCAGCACTGCATGTACAAGGATGCCAGCTGCCGTTAAACCCCGAAGAAGAAGAAGCAGCTGTGTCCCAGAATTCATAGCGCGGCCCAGCTCAGTTTCCAACAATGGCGGCAGCTAGTTAGTTTTAATATTACTCTTATTATTCTTTCTGGGTCACAAAATAAACGTTTAACATATTTTCAGCCAAGAATGTAGCTGTGTAAACCTCAAATATCGGCTCAGTTTAGCAGGACACCACATATTTTCAAAAGCGCTCCGACGTTTCGGAGACCTCTGTTACCCACTAGCTCGATAGCTAGCCGGGGGCTAGGTCACTAGCGCGGTGAGAACACCGGACTCCCGGCAAATTGTTTTCAAACCCACCACCGTCTTTCGCTACTCAGGTTAAATATATATGAGTCACTTAGATAAATTAAAAATGTTGTTGTTTGGCTTTTTTTTTTTTTTTTTTTTTTTTTTTTTTTTTTTTTTTTTTTTCCTGAGGAAATCGGTTTGTCTGAGATTAAAGTTATAGTTTTTACACAGCTGAATAAACGTCAAGCAGACAGCTGATTATCAGAAGTGTGAGATGCTGGAGAATATACTCCGTTGTCCTGTTATATTTTAGATAGCAAGGAGTTTATTAAACTTCACCGAAACAATCTGCAAATTTCATTAAAATTGAATAAACTATCATCTTGTCTTTATTTTTAGTTAGCACCTTAAAAGCTTAAAGCTGTAAGCTAATGATAGTTATATAAGAGCATATGCTGCTGGTGCAATAAGCTGTAGTTTTACGTCCAGTGGATGATGATCTGATTAGTCGACTAATCGCATAAATAATCGGTGACTAGTCGACTATCAAAATAATCGTTTGTGGCAGCCCTATTGTTATCACACACAATTAAAATGTTAAATTGTGAGTGTGTGTAATTTGTCTTCTTTAAAGGGAATAAAGGTATCCACAGCACACACTTGCAGTTGTATATTGTGGTAATAATAGTACTGTTTACTTGGATTTGCTTGACCTGTCGATGATATTCAAACACCATCACTTCCTGTGCTCCCAAGCGCTTTCTCTTGCAGGTCATCTGCAAATAACCTTTGCAGATGACCTCTGGACAATTGTTTTGTGTTATTTGAGCAGAAATAGATTTTTAAAGAAAATTGCTTTGGTAATGCCGGGCCATACCTGTGGTTAAAATGATTGTTTATGTGCTTGGAAAAAAAAATCTGCCTCATTTTTTCCCACTTTTTTTTTTTTTTAACCAATAAATTGAACCAAAATCTCAGATGTACCAAAAGCGATACAACTTAAAACTCATATATGCAAATTCATATTTCATTTCTTTTCTTTTTTTGATTTGTCAGAATGTTCAATAAACACTTTGGTTTAAAAAAAAAAAGTGGCTATTTCATGGTTCAGGCTTTGCAGGGTTCAGTACAGCGTCGCTGCATTCGTTGCTCTTCTCTGTCCATCCAGTCAAGGACTTGCAACAATTCAAGGACGTAACTTGTGGTTTAAGGATGTTGTTACACCCACTCCCTGCAGCCCACTCTCTTTCATACTTCTTGTTTATCTTTTGTATACTTCCTGTTATGTGCAGGAGAGGACACAGTCATGGTTAGACATGTGCAATATTGAAACTTCTGCCTGATGTGTATCGTCGATGAATTCTTATAACACTTGTGCCACATGTCCTCTTTAGGCGAGTGTGTACTTCAGAGAGCTGTTATGGTGAGGAAGAAGTTGACTGCCAGGGAAGGAAGAGGCTGGCTGTCTGGGACCCTCTTCTGTACTCACTTCAGAGTGGCCTTTGTGCCCCAGGACAGTCCCAAACCTGACGTGAGTCCCTACGCTGCACTGAATAAACACTAAAACATACAGATGTTTGTGTTAACAGTGTGTTTCTATCTTCTGTTTTAAAAGAATGACCCTTGAAAATGTATAAAGTGCATCTGACATCATGGGAACTTTATTTCTTTGAATGATATTTATGACGCAGGACAATGCAGACCCAGTGCTACTAGGAGACCACGATGTGGCTTTGGCATCTATAGAGAAAGTTGTTGTTGGTGAGTAAAACTTCCTTTTTACTCATGGCTTCCAAAAGCATTTCCATTCATGCTATTGATTGATGTTTACTTGGTAAATTATTGCCTTTGTACGACTTCCAGTCTATCATGTCACTTACTGTGAACACGATGACGCAAAGGTTACTAAAAATAAGTTCAAAGAACAGTCTGATAATGTGCAGATTGTTAACTGAGATATTTCTTTGTATCAGTATCGCTGTCAGGAAGTTCACAAAAAAATTGTCTTTGATTCAAAAGGGGACTGATGATGCTCATTTCCAGGTTCATGCTTTCATCCTGGTACACAAAGTCTTTGCGTGTATCGCAACTCACAATAATCCTTATTTATCATTCACTGAGCCTTGCTGCAGCCCCTCAGTTCATGCTCTGTCTCAAACAAGCAGCATTTGTTCCTCTCCCTTCAAACAGAGCCCCCTCTGTTTAAGTCAGCTGATTGGCTGCCCCTCACAAAGCCTAGCCTGGAATAGAAGGTGGGGAGGACTGTTGTGCTCACAGCCACACAGCTATGTACCTGACATAACTGTATAAGGGCTCACAGGGATTATATGTAGAGTATTGGACACATTTTATATTTTTGATTTATCATCAGTGGATAATCCACTCTTATTTTGAAAGTTGAGTTGCCTGGCGATTCTGGTGCTCTCATACTGGTGCAGTCTGATGGACTACCATCACTACCACTGTTTTAATAAAGTGAGACATCTTTTCACATACCTTGCTTCTCAAATAATATTTAAAGTTTTATTTCAGTTTGCAGGCTGATTTAAAACTCTGTACTCCAGGACTCCGCTGGGCTCTGGAGTCGTCTATGAATCTAAAATGTAACTTTGCTCTTGTGTTTCAGTGGGCCCAAACAGGACCAAGCTGGTGACACCAAACTCCTCGCTGAAGTTCACTCCGGAGGAGCTGGTGCTTTACTGCAGGGACATGCGAGTCGTCTGCTTCCTTTTTGACCGCCTCACTCCTGAGTCACAAGTCCAAGAGGTGTCTCCTTAGCCTAAGCATGTATCCCTAGAGAAGCTGATCTATGCCACAGCCCAGTGATCAGACACTGTGGTGAAAGCTGACGACCTTTGTCATGTTGATGCACTCACTGTGGTTTCCCTCCTCAGATGACCTACAGCATCGCTAAGACCTACCAGCCTCCCAAACCAGGGTCTGTGTTATCTTTCCAGAACGCCGCCCTCGGCAGTGTAGGTGAGTAGATTAAAGTATACAGCTGGCCACTCCTTTCCTGGCACAGAGACGGTATCTTATCTCCACCATTGCAGCCTGTCTGTCATTCTGTTAACCGTTGGCTCTCCCAGGAGCCGTTTAATAACACTCGTGCTTTTGAGCTTACTTTGTTTTGTTCTCGTCCGTATGGATGCAGCCACAGAAATGCTTCTTGGGGCACTGCTGCCTCATGTGTGCCTGCTGGGATGGTAATGATATTAAAATGACTGCGAGTCAATGATCTAAAGTATTTATTACAATCTGTCTATCATTCTGTGCATATTTTAGCTCTAATGAATATTCATAGGAACAACAGCTCAGTTAAAGTGAGAATCACATGCTGTCGTGAATCAGAAACCCTGCAGGAATGTGTTAGGACACACTTGTACAGATTTAAAGCACAGCACATGACTAAGTGTGGTTCTCACCCATTCCAGCTCCCGAAACAGAATGTACTTAAGCTGTGATCACACTTTATCATTTCCCTCCTGTGACTTCAGCTCATTATCATTTTTTTTTAAATTTTTTGCTCCTGTCGATTTCCATCATCCGAATGTGATGTTGCAGATCCTAAAAGTGGGACGAAAATGAACCCAGAACCTTAATGGTTTCTGTTCAGACCATAATGACACATAACACTCACATCCTCTGTGGCTGGCGAGATTAAAAACACTCCCCTCTGTGATGCCACAGTAAAAATACTCTCTCTGAAAACATATGTGAGGCAATCTTTCATCGGATTCAGCAGAAGTTTATGTTAACAATGATTTAAAGTGTGGCTGTGGGAAAGATTAAACCTTGTTTTATGTTCTTTCCCCTTTTTTTTCTTAATTAAGCTTCTCAGCTTCAAATGCAAACGAGCCACAATTCACATGTCGTTAATAAAGGCCTGCTCTAAACACCCGCCCTCCATATAGGGACATTTGAGCCTGTCTCTGCAGTATAGTATGCTTAGTGTGCTACATTCAAGCTACGCTAGGCTGGCCAGGCTGAGGATGAATGCCAGTTCTTGGATAAATAATGCAAGCCCCCCTCTGAAACAAGTCATTAGATGACCTACAGTTCACCTCCGCCCTATGGGTCAAGTGTGTCCAGTGTGTGGTCAGTTCTTTGTGTTTTGAATAATACAAGAAGAGCTTCACCTCTGCCAGCGTCCACGCTCTGTTTGACACCAACATGAAACGGTCGCTCTCTTTGCCCATGCGCCGTGTCTCCACCAAGCTTTATGATATTATTCAGCTTCGTACAGAGAAATGTGTCCCAGGCATCCCAAGTTTTTTCCCACGGCTGACCCAGAGAAATAGTTTCTCCTGTCCTCCAAAAAGAGTTTTGTTGGAAAAGGATGCAAAAGCTCAGAATAGATTTCTTAAGAAGCCGTGCCTGCTTGCTGAGCAGCCAGTGCTTTTTAAAATTCTGTTTCTGCCCGGTCTTTATATCACGATAAAAAAGGCAAAAACTTATACCAGAGAAGCTAAACAGTAAAATTATAATTAGCTTCACTGCTGGACTCCCATTAAGATTAGGTTTAAATCCTGCCTTTAAAATGAATAGTGTTGTGTTTGTATAAAATACGATTCAAAGCAGTCACAGTATTATCACACTGCACCTGATCTTGCACCTTTAAAGTGCTGCGAGCATCAAAACGAGTGTTTCAATCACTTCCCGCCTACAGAAATGAAGCAGTTTCTAAGCAACCGTCGCCGAGACGCCCACATGAACTGGTTTGAATCTGCCTCGGACTGGGAGCAGGAGCTGGAACGCTGTGGAGCCACTAGCTGGAGGGTCAGCTCAGTCAATGACCGCTTTGAAATGTCAACCAGGTAAATTCACAAGTGTAACCACACATAACACTAACCAGGTATGCAATGTAATAAAACACATAGAATGTCTGTCAGTGTTATATCAGATTTAACACCAATCCCCTCTTTAGTATGCAAAGCAGCACATTTCAGGAATGTTGCTCGTCCTCGATAAGAGAAAGATTCCACGGCACTAACGCCTTAAAAGATGGTGCTCTAAGTTTTTTACATTTTTTTTTATATGCAGTGACTCATACATCTTCCACTGCTGTTGTAAATTTGCTATTTATATCTCGTCAATAGAACTGAGCACTTTTTTTCTGCTTCCTGTCAGCCTGCCTCGCTTCATCGTGGTCCCACAGAAGGTTTTAGACACCGAGCTGAAGAAAAGCTTCGCCCACTTCAATGAAGGACGCATCCCTGTGAGTGTTCTGGAGTCATGTTTTGTTTTAAATTAACACTTTGCCATTTGTGATTCACCAATTTCTAGGAAGTGTTTGGAAGTATATGCTTCAGAAAATATTCAGCTGGATTTTTTGCAAACACATGCAGAGCTGGGCTGTGGGGATGCTGTTACAATATTCCACATTTGTGTCCAAGAACTCAAGAAAGCACCCAGAAGCACTATTTTCACAGATATCTTCCTGCCTTGAGAAACATTTAAAACTTTTCTTGCAACTCAAATGAAAAAAACAGAAGTTCCTCAGACTTGGTGCCTGTTTCCCAAGTGTCTTTAATATATTATGTCAGAATGATCTCTGAGCTGCAATCATGTGTCTGTATTCGCTGCTTATTATCATTCCAGCGAGACTAATTATAAGATGAATGCTGCAGTAAGAGCGTGTTATTAAAGAGGGTGAAACTGTTTTGTGTCACAGCGCTGGTGTTGGCGACATCCCAGAGGCAGTGATCTACTGCGAATGGCCAGCTTCCAGAATAACATCTACCATGAGAAAGATGACATCAGGTGTGTGTGTTCAATGCTTTGCAAATGGATTCTAGTGCATCAACATTTGACCACCCGCACTTGAGTCTGAGCTGTAGGGTGCAACTTTCACACAGCAAAGTACAGGTTACAGTAAAGTAATAACAGGTCGTCTGCTGGACTCCAGATCCTAAGCTTTAGTCCAGAATGAAGATGCAGACTAAGAAGACTTGGTTCACAGACTTATGAAAGTGTCTGCACATGGCTTGTTAGATACATTTACATTTGAAGATGCTCAGATTCATAATTTTAAAACCTTCTTCTGCTTTAACTCACCTGTGTGCATTTATTTCTATCACCCGAGAAAATCTATCGATGAACACAAAGAACGATTGAGAGAAACAGAACACTTTGAGGTGAATATTGCAAATCGTGAAAGAAGCACGAGGCTGCAGTTTAACGTGTGAGGTCAGAATATGTTGCAGAATCATTTTACACCAACTGTCATTTTTCAGTATTAACTGCAAAGCTTTTGGCAAAATCAGTACAACTTTTCCCTCCAAGCTGAAACGACATTTGAACCAGTTCCTTCTTTCTGGGGAAATAATAGTCTGCTTTGCACCTTTGCTTCCCAAAGGGCCATTTCATAGATTTATATCCATATGTTATGTTGTGGGTTTGAATTCCACGGCACAGAAAATTACACGGTGTCATGTAGGATTCGGGGAATGAATTGGCATGCATCACTGGTCAGTTTCATTATTTTGCGTGTATTATTTCAGTTTTCTGCCTCCTTGATTATTCAGCTGATAGACATTTGTTTTTATGCATGAATGAAGCGCCATGGACACCTTATTAAATGCTCAACAGCTTTAGTACAACATACCAGTGTGGACACCCCCATCACTGTGTCAGACAAATATCTGAGCTAACTGCTCTCCCGTAGTCCTAAGAGAACTTATGAGATTTTAAGATTTTAATAACTATTTTTAAAGCCCCTTGAGTCCTCAGTCTCTGACCTGTGAGCTCTGTATGTTCCAGTATGTAGAAGCCTTTTGTCCCAGCGGCCTGCTGCTGAAAGAGGGGATAGCTGAAACCATGAAGTAACTGCAAGATTTTTCACACTTTCTGAAAAAATATCTGCATATAGATTTGCATAAAAGAGTTTTAATTAGTATCGTTTTGCTATATTTTTGGTTACTTTATTGCTCAGAAATGATTCATTCAGGTTTTTTTTTTTGGGAAAAAGTGAATCTCATCAATGATGTAAAGCGATATCAGCTTGCTTACAAATGTTACACTGCCAGTGACAAATGTTTCACAAAGTACGGCAGGCTCGTTGCCATTCGTTAACAGCTGGATGTGCTCTTGTGTAGAAACCTGGAGATGATCCTGTTTGGTTGCCAGTCCTCTTTGTGTGTGGTGGTGGAGCTGGGCGAGGAGCTGCCCTCGCCTGCCGACATCCAGCTGGCACACAGCCGCCTGCGCGCCCTTTGTCTGGGAGGTAAGGACAGAAACGCACACGTCCACACCTGAATGTGTGTTTACACACAGCACAGAGAGGAGAAAGGAGGCATCACAACTGCCGTTATTGATAATCCACTGCTCATATAAACCTCTGTCAGGACAGGTGTGTGGTCTGAAGGGTCAAAAAAGGGACAATATTTAGCACAGTGGAACAGTGGTTAGCACTGTTGCCTCACAGCAAGAAGGTCCTGAGTTCAATTCCTCCATCTGGCGTGCTTGTTCCCCCCTTGTTTGTGTGGGTTCTTTCTGGGTACTCTGGCTTCCTCCCACAGTCTAAAGACATGCAGTTAGTGAGGATAGGAATGTAAGTGAGAATGGTTGTTTGTGCATATGTGTTAGCCCTGCCACACACTGATGACCTGTCCAGGATGTACCCGCCAGCAACCCTGAAAAGGATAAGCAGAAGAGGATGGATTGTATAGAAGTCTGGGAGTCACTTCTTTTGTGACTTCAGTAACTAATTTTCTAAAGAGTTCTCAGTTGCTGCTTTAACCTCCTAAGACTTTTGGTCTAAATCAGCGGTCCCCAACCTTTTTTGTGCCACGGACCGGTTTATGCCCGACAATATTTTCATGGACCGGCCTTTAATACAACAAAATAAAACTAGTACCGGTACCGAAAAAAAGAAGATTTATTCATAACACACGTGAAAAGACCCAGGAAAACCGAGTTAATGATAAAAACTATAACAAAATAACGCTGAAAACCGATAAAAACCCTGAAAACCATACATTTCACACCTGGGCCTCAACTCTCACAGCCCGGTACCAAACGACTCACGGACCGTTACCGGTCCGAGGCCCGGGGGTTGGGGACCGCTGGTCCAAATAACCCAAAATGTGATGTCCACATATGTGGACGCCAGGTCCTAGGAGGTTAAAGACTTATTTGATACGTGATTATCATTTCATAAATTATGGCCCCATTTTGAAGCAGATTGGAGATGAAGCTTTATTCACCTTGAATTTAACAAGTCATGTCTCGGTGAGTTCTTGTTTGTCACTTCTGATTCAGAGCAGAAAATGCTTCATCTATCTTTTCTAAGCAGTCTATGGAATTTCCGTGTTAAGCTTCTGCATTTCTCCTACTTCCTGAACAGTCTTTTGATTTAAATCACACCCTGACGTGATCTGCTTTAGTTTAGTTAAAGTCATGTGTTTCCAGATCATTCTCTCCTGTTTTAAATAGTTGTTCGGGGCATTCCTGCTCAGATCACAACACTCTTTGTGAGACGGCTCTTACTGGTGCTTTTGTCATATGAGCACAGGCAGCACATTCCACTTAAGAGCAGAGAGGCCAGAGGCCACAGTGGTCTCAAACTACTGGAAATGCTGAGCCATCTTTCTAACTGTCTCTCTGTCTGACTCACACACACACACACACACACACACACACACACACACACACACACACACACACAGGAACAGTGTGTAAAGGTCACAGTACTACACACGTTTGTCACCTCAGTGTTTTGTCTCGTTGTGTGCGAGTGTTTCACAGTCCAGAGGATTATTCTGTAGAAATGAAAACTCTGGTACATCTTCACCACAACTAGATTAGAAAATTAGTCTGAACTGAGGATCGTCTTAGCCGGCCGTTCATTTGCATTTATGTGCGTTTTACACTTTTAGGGAGAAAATTGTTATTCTGTCTAATACGTTGATCGTGGCTTTGGCAGTAATAACCACACAGCAGTATTAAAACACCCAGTAGGTGCCACATTTACTGATTTTCAACAAATGAGACATTCGATCGTGGCTCAAGAGTTGGGAGTTTGCCTTGTAATCGGAAGGTTGCTGGTTCAAGCCCCGGCTTGGACAGTCTCGGTCGTTGTGTCCTTGGGCAAGACACTTCACCCGTTGCCTACTGGTGGTGGTCAGAGGGCCCGGTGGCGCCAGTGTCCGGCAGCCTCGCCTCTGTCAGTGCGCCCCAGGGTGGCTGTGGCTACAATGTAGCTGCCATCATCAGTGTGTGAATAGGTGGATGACTGGATGTGTAAAGCGCTTTGGGGTCCTTAGGGACTAGTAAAGCGCTATATAAATACAGGCCATTTACCATTCGTGAGACATTGATGAGAATACATAATATTTTAAAGGTATTTAAAGCTTCAGTCTCCAAACTGCAGAAATTGATTTCTTCTTTCATGCATTTGTATTTATGATGCTGCCTGAATATGATCTGGTGCTCTTTTCTGTTTTGACTTGTAGATATCTCCACATCTATGTCGGTGCCTGATGACAAATGGTTATCTACCCTGGAAAGCACCCACTGGCTAGACTACACAAGGTAACGGCTCTGATTGGCCAGACTGGCAGTGCATATCATCCCTAACAGAAGACACAAGTCTAACAAAACGAAGCCTTTTTGACAGTTTGCTGGCTAAAGAATTCAAAAACTGCGTTCAGGGTCCTGTAAAAACGAACATTTTGCAGACAAATCGAAGCCATGAAAGTTTGCAAGCCTCATTTAACAGCATTTAAAAATTGAATTTTATGTTTATAACTTTATAGCTAACACTAATATACAATATGCAAATTGTGTTTGTTAGGTATTGTAACTGTATTTCTTATGTGCCGATTCTGGTGCATGTCACGAACCTGCCTCTGCCTCCAGGTCCTGTTTGAGGAAGGCTTCAGAGGTAGCCTGCTTGCTTCGTGGTGGTCACCTGACTGTGGCACTTCAAGGTGAGTCACGTGACTCCAGAGCCCGTCTCATATTATTCAGTTCATTCATTATTCACAGCACTTCCCTCTCATTAATGCCACATTAGGGCTTACCTTGGAGTAGACATATACCACGGACAATCACACTCCGCTGAGCCTACATGCACACTGTCAATAAGCCCCCATGCAACATGCTTTTAAGGACACAGTTACACCTGCTTGCAACTGTTGTTTCACATGAGGTCAGACAGCAGAAAAGCAATTGGCCTTCTAAGTTAATTATAGCGTTTAATTAATGAGTTCAAGGAAAATATTCTGTGTCTGACGTTGTATTTTGGTGGACTTTTGAATCTCTTTTTTGGTTTAAACTTCTGTTGTTGGCACATGGATCCATTAAGGCTATTTATAGGTGTGATGCGGTGTTATTGACACTTTGTTCTATTCAGGTGCCAGATGACTCTGCAAGGTTTTCCCTGCGTAAAGAAACGTTTGAGGTTTTGGTCACCCCACCAAGGATAATGCCGTTCCCCCTTCCACTGTTACACAATCATGGTTTGGCTTGCAGCTGAAGGACATTCTGTTAAATAAGCTGAAAGACTCATTGTCTTTAGTGTGCGTGGATCGATCAATCTTACAGGCATGTGCAATCGGGCCCTGCTGTGGTGGGAAAGAAGACCTCTGCACACCAAGCTCCTGGATGGATGCTGGGCTAATGTTGCTTTATGTGGCAGGAGGTGCAGAGGGGGTGCGTCTCTGTGTTGCGTCTCTGTGTTGCAAAGAGGAACGTGCTGACTTTTGTTTGTTTGGACCCGAGCTGTCAACTGATCACCGCTCAGCAGCGAGGCGTTTCAGGTGACGAGGAAACGCTACTAGGCAGGCCGGGTAAACCCAAGCATGCTGCGAGGGTGACCTCAGCGTGCCTGACTGGGACTCTGCTTCACAGAGACAGGCTCTGGCCAACAGATGACATGGTTTTCTTCCACAGAGGAATTTTCAGTGCCCAGCAAAGCAGTTGTAGGGTTATTATTTACTTAAATGTAACAGATGTTTTTGTTTATCAGATGCTTAGAAAAACATGAAATCTAAACTATTTCTGTCAAATAAGGTAACACAGACCAGTCTCGCATACTTTATCCAGACCAGTCATGTTTACTTGCACATTAACTGCCTAAAAGGCCCACTTTGAGTGGGATGGAAAATCACTGGATGATTGTGTTGTTGTTGTTCTGACTCCTGACGTTCTCATTGTTTAGTCTCCCACTGACGTTAAACTTTTGTTGGCCTGTGGCCACGCTGTGCATGAACGTGAAGTAAACAAATCAAACAAAGGGGCATGTCAGAAGATGATCATTTGTAATATTCCTTTAGATTTCATTTTGACTCATTTTACAGACATTTGGCGGATTTCTGACCATCTGGTCTGGCTTCCTGTTGCACGCTCAGTGTAACACTACATTGCTCAGACAATGGCCGTTTTCAGCTGAGGATGTTTACTGCTTGCTGCTGATCTTTCACTTTCTCTACCAGCTAGGCTGAAAGGACGACAGAGCCATGCTCAGTTTGGGTCTGCTAACGTTTTCCTGCACTCTGAGTTGAGCATTAAGAGCAGAATTGATGAATCACTTGCTGGATTGTTTGGTTTTTGCTGTTGCTCAGTGACTGAGTGAGCTACTCGAATAGAAGGCGCGGCATTCAGCATGTGCTCTTCCTGTTCTGACGTCACAGAGGTGGAGGACCGGGACATGAGTTGCGTGGTCTCCAGCCTGGTGCAGGTGATGTGTGACCCCCACTGTCGGACAATGTATGGTTTCCAGGGTCTGGTGCAGAAGGAGTGGGTGATGGGCGCGCACCGCTTCTACAGCCGCATTAACTACCACCGTGACAACGACAAGGAGGAGGTGAGCGGCCATTTTTGAACCCATTTATTTTTCCTCCTAACAAACACAGCCACAAGTTTCCAAAGCTCTTGGTTTCTAACCCTAGTCCCACCCTCACCCTTATTTTGCTTCTGTTTCCTCCTCCTTCACCTTCTGTCTCTCACTTCCATCATTCATTCATCTCTTCCTGTTTGTGCTCTAACTTTATTTACTATGCTCTCTCACTTGATCTTTCCTTCAAGGCTCCAGTCTTCCTGCTCTTCCTGGACTGCGTTTGGCAGCTGTGGTCCCAGTATCCCTCTCGCTTCCAGCTGACAGAAGACTTCCTGTTGGCACTGCATGACAGCGTCCACCTGCCACTCTTCTCCACCTTCCTGTCAAACTGCCAGCGAGAGAGATGCAAACGCTCCCAGGTACTGAACGCCCCCCTATATAATGATTAGTTCAAATAGTGGTGAAGTAATTGATTAACATGCAGTTGCTCCTCATTAGTTAGAACAGCAAATGCTGACTCTGATTCTCCAGATGATTGTGATGATGATGATGATGAGTAGGAAGATGTAGACTGCAGAAAACAGACATTTTCATAATAAATGACACCTCCTACCTCCGCTATACTCAGAATCTCGGGCAGTGCTACACGCCCGTCAACGGCTGGAGAGATGTGCTGCATCCAGATTCTTCCACAGATCCGTCTGACCCTCCACTGCCCCCGGTGTGGGACTGGTCCCTGCAGTACAGCAAGCCGAGACAAAGCCGTTTCACGCAGCCCGTGCCCCCGACTCCTCCGCTCCAACCGCTGCTCAACGGCAACCTCAACACCAACCCCGACAAACACAGGGTGAGGCTGGCTCGTCTACTGCATGGTGCAACACGTCCCCCTAGTGGCCGTGTTTAGAGTCTAGTCTGTGTTAAAGTATATCAGCAGAAATGGGTGTGGGATATTTTTGCTTTTGGTTGGACAGCGACACTTAAGACTTCAGATTGGATTCTACCTAAGCAGCAATTTGTAAACACACAAGTTTAACTTCAGGGCAGAAGAGAAGAAGAGCAGACCACCAGTGTGAGGGTGCAAGAAGAGCTGTTGCAGAGGTTTTCGCATGCATATTTTTAGTAGACTGATATCTTAAGAACTTGGATGTTTGCGTCATACCACTGCTCCTGCTTATGGTACTCGTTAAAGATGCAGCCACTTCAAACTCACTTGTCTTGATTGTCCATAATGGCCTTTAAACTATCTTCTCAGTTTACAGATGTATTATTTTACTTTTATCTAGATAAATGCAAATCAGTGGAATTAACCAGGAAAAGTAGAACCTGCAGGCTCCCAGAGAAAATGTCTTGCGACTGGAAGTTAAACCGCCAAATGTTTTCAGTTCAAATGTACGATTACTGTTGTAGGTGTGTTACAGTTTGCCTGATTCTGACCTCTGACATCTGCCCACCAGCTGACCGACGCCGTCCCGGGCTCAGTGTTTCTGCTCTCGCGGGGCACCTTCTCCTGTCCAACTAACCTGCTTCCGTGGCGCAACAGCAGCAGCAGCAGTTCAGGTGTTTACAAAAAGAGCCACCGGAGGGCGCTGTCCTCTGAGAATGTGCCTGGCCTGGAGAGACTGCTGAAAGCTTGGGCTCTAGTTGAGTTTCCCCAGGCCCTCACATCTACGTCTGGACCTCAAGGACCACTTGACCCCTATGAGCCCTTACTGCCCCTTCTTATGGGCCCCTGCATGGGCCTGTGGAGGGAGTGCTACCTGCGCGGGGCGCTCCATGCGCAGGTATGTCAACAGTCTGATGCAGGCATATAGAAATTATTCATTAAGAATGAGCGGGTATTGTTAGTGAAGCTTCATATGCAGTTTCTCTGTGCATTCGAATGAAGACCACAAAGAGTCCTGAATGTGATGATGTCTTCTGCTTAACACTTAAAGTTTCCAGCTATATTAAACAGAATATTATTAATAATGTAAATATAAACTAAAAGGTCAGTTTAGGAAAGAAAATGTATAAAACACTCAGTTTGAGCTGCACTATTCTAGTTCAAATATGGAGGACTGAAACTGCCAAATTTTAAATGCATCTCAGAGTGACTCAATTACATGTTAATATCTTACAAAATATAAATATAAAATGATTATTGGAATTAATAAATAAATAATTAATTCTGTTTCTATATGTTTATGCATTGACTTATCCATTTTCTTTATTTACAGTCTATTTATTTTTTAAATAATATATTGTTTCTGTTATTTTTACCTTTTAGTCATTTTTACTTTAATAAATTATTTTATTATTTTTTACATTGTTTGCATCTTGCTTGTATATTTATTTATTTATTTATTTATGCTTCATGCAGTTGATGAGCGTTCATTCAAATGATCTCATGAGGTAAACTTTGCACTTGTTTGTTCATTGATGCCAAACTCAAAACAACTGGAACACATCTGAAGGTGATCAGCTGAATAAATGCAGCCAGTCAGGTGTGGCTGTTGTTTTTCTTTTCAAGCGCTGGTGACATTTAAAAAGTTGTAATCTACGTATACACAAAAATAACTGATTTATAAAATGAAATAACTAAATGAAATAAATTACCAGCTCAGTCAACCAGTAGGTGAAAAGCTTACTCCATGACAGCCTCGCTCATTTGCATAATGAAGCAGAAATTTTGGAAAAAAACAGAAAGAATAGGAGTAAATTTGTCAAACAAAAATAAATAATGTAAACCAAATACAAATATAAATACACACATAAATATTAAATGAAAGTTAATAATGGTAAAAGGAAATTAAAAAAATAAAATGATCTTACCATCTTTTTTATAACTCCTAATTTTATTATTTAAATATTTATATAATTATATGATTTATTTTCTATTACTGTACTATTATTATTATTGAAATCTTGGCATATTTTAGGGCATATATGCATAACTTTTTGATGCCAGTAGTTTCAGTCCTCTGTATAATTATTATACTGTATCAAAGTTAAGTGTGTAAACCCGGACGTGGGTACCCGTGAACCTTCCTGAAGCCCCCGTCGCGAGCGCTGCACTCCTGTGTCCCGTGTTACATCCTCTCACTTCCATTCCGCTCCTTCAGTAGATGACGTCCTCTTTGATGCGAAGATTAGTCAGAGCAGTTATGAGCAGCTCCAAATATGGACATGGTTCAGCCTTTGTGATGTCTGTACATCAGCGCGTCTATCAGCGTCCCCATGGTGATGTTAAGAATAGTTGAGCACCGTGTGGGTGGGTGGGTGCCTGCAGCTATTTTAAAAGCACTGTGGAGAAATTCTGTCAGGCTGCTGAAAAACCATTTCAGGTTTCAGAGACAGTTTTGTTTCACACACTGCTGAATGTTCCCTTCAGGAACACGAGTTCCTCTTCTTTCTTTTGTTAGAAGCATGGATTCATTCAGGCATTACTCAGTGTTTGTGGTCTGCATAGTTCACGTATTAAACAAACACCTGTTAGTCTCTGTGTTTTTTAATAATAATAATAATGATAATGCATTTTATTTAAAAAAATAGCGCCTTTCAAAGCACCCAAGGACTGTTTTTATCTGAAGAACACACACTTCAGGATAATTAAAAAAACACTTACTACAAAATTCAGACTGACTAGAAAACCACTCTAACTGGGTCAGTATCTATAGGTAGGGGGAAGCATTCGTTCCTAGGCTTTAGGGCTCATGAGGTCTTACCTTGAAGCGTTCCCTCACCATAGACTGCATATTCAATGCAAAGTACTGCTGATATACTTTACGTGTTTTTGTGACAAAAACATACAAAACCAACAACGCATCCGTCACTCGAAACTTTGCGGCATCTTTAGAGGCCTTTGCGCTGGACACACCTTTGTCCTGAGGCCTGGACCCTGACCTCGCTGGACAGGAAGAACAGGCAACACTCCGCTCCTCCCAGTTTAGCAGCATAGTTATTGTACAACAGCAGGTAGCAGCTCTGTGGCAGGTTTTTCCTACAGTAGGATGCAGATGTTGAACAAGTTTATTCTGGATTTTATTTGGAACCAGCTGCTAATGCTGGTATGTTTTCACTCCTACTAGTAGTGTGTTCATACATACCGTCCCAATTTCTTGTTTTTGCATATTTGTCACATTTATATGTTTCAGTTCATCGAACAAAGATACGCAAAGTCACACAAAGATAAACGGAGTAAATACAAAATGCACTTTTTAAATGATGATTGTAAAAAATGAGGTTTTTCAAACCTACTGGGCCTGTGTGGGGAAAAAAGTAGTTGCCCCCTAAACTTAACTGGTTGAACAAACCTTAACAGCAACAACTACAATCAAGTGTTTCTAAAAACTGACAGCGAGTCTTTTCGCTGTGGATCAACGGTGGCTCAGTCTTCTTTGCAGAATTGTTTCAGCCACATTGGAGGGTTTTTCAGCACGAACATCCTGTTTACGAACTATCTCAGTCACATTTATGTCCTGACTTTAACAAGGCCACTTCAAAACCTTCATTTTATTTATTTTTTTCCATTCAGATTAGACTTGCTGGTGTGTTTTGGATCATTGTCCTGCTGCACAACCCGAGTACTTTTGTGCTTCAGAGCATGAACTGATACCTGGACAATGTCCTTCATCAACATGTTTTTTAGCCTTTTTTTGAGGTTTTTTGGACAGCGGTGGTTTTCTCCTTGAACCCTCCCTTGGAGGCCATTTTCACCCAGTCTCTCTCTTATTGTTGAATCATGACCTCTGACTTTAACTGAGGCAAGTGAGGCCTACAGTTTTTTAGATTTCATTCTGGGTTCTTCTGTGTCCTCGTGGATGAGTTTGAATGCGCTCTTGGTGTACTTATGGTAGGCTGGTTACTCCTGGGAAGGTTCACCACTGTTCCAAGTTTTCTATTTGTGTATGACAACGGGATTCAATGGAGTCCCAAAGCCTTAGAAATGGCTTTTTGACCCTTTCCAGACTGACAGATATCAGGGACTTTTTTTCTGCACTGATGTTGTTTCTTTAGGTTGTAAAACTGAACTCAGCTTTCCAAAGAAATGTGATTAATCGGTTATGTCATGATTTTAAATGGGGTTTTGATCTGAAACTGTATGACAAATATGCAAAAAATAAGATGTTAGAAAGGGGACGACTACTTTTTCACAGCACTATGATGTGGTCACAATGTTCTGATGTCTTACAACTGCAGCTTGAAATACTGATACATAAATATTTTCTCCACTCATCTTTTCAGTAAGAGTTTCCTCTGGACAAGTTAGTGTCATTAATGGAAAGCAACAATGAAGGTCACTTTTAAAAAGCAGTTTTTAATACCTTATCATTGCTTTCATGCTTTTTAGTTTGTAGTTTTGGTCCCAGAAAAATGCAGGATGAGAAACCTTCAGATTGAGATGAGGTTGGATTAAAGTTGCTGAGCAGTCCCGTAAGTAAAACTTTCTTCTGCTTTCTATTCTCAGGCGTTCTCTCACCCCCTCTCTGCCAACCACCTCCACCCTGTGGAGAGGCTAGCGCAGGAGGTGCAGCAGCTCAAAGACAAGCTAGAACAAGTCTCCACCAGCACGGATCCTACCCCGCCCGCCGTGACAGCCGAGCCCCGGAGAGCCGACACCAACCTGAACCAGAACACCAACAACGGCACCTTCCTCTTCCCGGCGTCGAGGCCTCAGAGCGCAGGCGCTCTCAGAGCAGCACCCCTCCCTACCTCGGCCAACCAACACACCTCCAGGGGCGCTCCCGCCGCCTCTGCTCCACAATCCAGGCCTGCTCACAAAGACACGGGTGGCAGCAGCAAGCACACATTCCTGTTTGGGCACTCGTCTGTGATTGATGCACATCCTGACCAGCGATACTACTCGGCGTCCAGTAACGCCAAGCTGCCTAAGAGTAACGGACCCTCGCTAGCTTCCTGAGATCTGACCGTTTTCCACCCCGTGACCGGGTACTCTAACCAAATGACACAGACATGTCCCTCAGTGGTGCCACGAACTGAGAGGAGCAGACGTGTAATAACGTGTCCATAAGGCGATTAGAAACAGAGACATTGTGACGGACCACATTGAACTGAAGCTGTATGAAATGATCAGTGCAAGAGCTCTTTCCTCTGCTACTTATCACGTGTACTGTATCAAATAATGTGACAAGTCTTTTGTATATTTGAATAAATATTCCTTTAATTAAATTGCAAAGAAAAAAAGTCATGCCTGAAGGTGCTGAATGCTGGAAGTACACCTCACAGTATGCAGAAACCGTCGCCGAGACTATTTCTTTGTAAACTTCCTGATGTCACCCTTTAAGAAAGAGACAGAAAGCTTGTCGTTTCTATTTTTACCTTCTTATCCACGGGGGGGTTGCACTGACAGGGCGGAGTGGAGATAAATGTGTTAAGCGATGGGTCCTACAGGCACTTTTCAGGACGTGATCTAGAATGGACACACTTGAGCGTTTCAATGGATTTAACCTCTGACCTGTGTGCCCTTAAGGCTCCATGCCTCCAGAAGACTTTTTTTTTTTTAAGTTGGTAACTCTTAATGATTTTTTCTTTGTTGCTGTTTGTCAACGTCAAATAGAAGATTAAATTATTGTTTGGAAAATAATAATTTCCAAAAACCGTCATTTTCTAACTCCAGGCGCTGCGACCAGTTGAATTTAGGGCATGAGCGCTATTTTGGTACCGCTGTGCTCTCATATCTCTCCGCTCACATGCACGCTGCTCGGGAGCAGCGAGAGGCCTATATTCAGTTTATGGTGTTATGTCAGCCTGGAGTTTTCTGGATGTTTCTGCAGTTCCTGCATGATGAAGATCATTTCAGGGCTTTAGTATGATATGTGTTTGTATTGATCGCTAATGGACATGTGGATACGTGTGATTATTTTCAACCAAAGTTGGTATTATTTGAAAATGTTTCCATCATTTTTATGGTGGTGAAAAAAAACAAACATAATTGTGCTCTTTTGGACTTCTGTACCTTGAGAAGGTAGCAGTGTTTGAAGTAAAGGGAGGCTCCGTTCCTCCTGTGTTTACCTTCTATTTGATCTCCTCACGTCCTGCCTGCTGCCGTATTAGTATGCAGTCAGCATTTAGGTCAAGGATTTGTCTGAAAAGCACAGAGGGAAGTATTTGGTCCTGCACCTTTAAATCCAAACAGTTTGCATGATGTGGGTGTCGAGTAGATGCACTGGCGTCATTCCCACGGATGAATGAATTTGCACCATTGCTAAAAGGGATGTTTAAAGTATCCATTATCATTATTCTTTCTTTTTAAACGCAGGATAACAGTTGTCAGATGTCCGTCTGATACCGGCCTTCTCTCATGTCAAAAGGTACCTCACTTGATAGCACTATGAATTATTCAATTGCTGTAAATATTCATTATGTCAATATTAAGGCATTGACTTCAGCTACAGTTTCAGAGCTTTCCAGGTGTGATGCCAATGGATTTGCTGGTCTTCTGCGGAAAAAGGGGAAAAAAAGTCATCGTTGTCCCGTTGCATGGAAGATCTAATTTGATCTTCAGCTCACACCTGCTGCTGTGTCTTTGTATCATTTCATGTTTTTGGTACTTACATTTGCCAGATGTACATATTTTTCTTTTTTTGTACTCGCATGTTTTGATCCCTGATAAATAAAAAGAGAAGTGTTACCAGCTCTGATTGTAATGACACGGCGTGCTCGTACACTGTTCACACAACCTTTTTATTTTTTAACAAAATAAATATTTACAATATGATCTGGAACACCTAAAAGTAGCACGGCACTGTACAGTGAAGTCGAGATTTCAAACCCAGCTGCATCAAACATACAGTCAGTGTGAAACGGCTTGAGAATCATGTGCAAAATGATCAGTACTTTCACAGGAAATGTTCAGAGTAACAGCGTCTTCTGACAGGAAATGTTAAATATACAAAATATCTACTCCGGTTCGCTTGTGTTCATCTCGGGTTTGGGTTATTTCTGTTTTTCAGAGCTCAGTAGAAAACCTGATAGGATAGGAAACCTCTCCATGATGTCGTGAAGTCTATGGAGATGCATTTGGGCACTTAAATCTATGCATGTTAATGTCATGCATTCTCAGACGTTTCACCTGATTAGCACAAACAACAGAGCAAGATGAAATAAAGTAGGATGACCACGACTCCAAAGTCAACAGGTGGCTTTCATGGCAGTGAATTTAAAAATCAATCAGGTCACAGCTTAAGAAGTCCAGAGAGTCGGCATCACCCCCGTGAAGCGGCTTCACGTTTACCCCCACTGGCTGCCGTGCTCCTTCCCTGTGTATTGCTCCTGCAGGATGCTGTAGGGTCCATTGAAGTACCCGGAGGAAGATGGACCCAGGCCTCCCAGCTGCCGGATGGACTTGCACATGGGGCAGGGGTAGTCCGACAGACCCTCGATGTCCTCGAAGGCCAGGTTGACGATCTGATCGCAGCAGGGATCGCAGTAAAGATGCCCGCAGGAGAGGCGCTTGAGGCGGGCCTCGTAGGAGATGCAACACTGGCAGTGCGGCAGGTCGGGGCCCAGCGACAGGGAGCTGGTCAGGGAGCTGCTCTCCAGGCTGCCGGCTTGGCTGGAGCTCAACTTAGTGGGAGACCTGAGAGGGAGAGGGAACAGGACGTGAAGACAGCCTGAAAACTACACATTGCATCAAGCTGTTCAAAATAAAATATGATTGTTTAAATCGCAGGTGTAGATTTCAGAGGGATGAGATTTAGACCCCACGTTTGTCCCCTCAGAATAAAAAACACAAAGGCTGCAAAGACCTTACTTAGAAATTCCCCAAATATGGAGGTTTCCTAACTGGTGCTTGATTTGGTGCTTTTCTTTGCACAACAATTCCCCCATGTACTGGTAAAAAAATAAAGTTACAAAATTTGTTTTAAATTAAGAAAAGTAAGCTTTGATTCTCCTGGGGGAGGACATCCCATCTATTATATTTGATACTATTATACTCAACAACAAAGTGGCTTAAATTCTGTACTTTTTCAAGCCAAAGAACTAATATTTGCTGGTTCCAGCTTCTCAAATGGAGCCTGTCTAATTATGTGTTTTTCTTGAGATAAATAAAGACATTTCCATCATAAATGCAAAAAATGTTCCCGTTTTATGATTCCCATTTCTAATATTAGCTTTGTTTGCAGGGTAGAATGAAACATTTGAAGAAGTGACTCAGGATTGCGCTGGTTTCTGAGTCATGTTAATTCATTTTATAGAAATAATAAATCATTAAATACAATGCAACCCTAATACAATAAATGCATGTAAATTCACAAAGCAATGTGTCATTTTCATGGTTCTTCAATGGCTCTTTACTAGTAAAAATCTCCAACTCAGAATTTTTTTTCCAAATTTGCAATGAATCCATCTCTTATACAGAACAAACCAAATAAAACAAGCATATATATTAGACTACACATACCAGAAATACTGAAAAACTACGACAAAAAAACATTTTAATGAAATATATATAATGTAAAGCCAGGTTGTTTTCCTTTGATTCCAAGCGTCCCAGCTGTGGCCTCACACACAACATCATCTCGTTGACCATCTTAATAGAAGGATTCATGTTAAAATAACAAACACGACAACCAATCAAGTTTTTATGAAAGATAAGAGCTGTAGATATAAGTAAATGGTGCTTTGATGACAAACCTAATTTCTTTGGGACTTGGCAAAACAAAAACAGGACAAATAAGTAGATATTTTGGCTGCTGGTTTATTTAAACCAAGACAGTCTGGGGGTGACAACTATTACTAGTCAAAGCCATGAAAACAGGACACGGCAGGTGTGATGGGATCAGGTTTTTCTGGTGCACGCTGAACACAGATGGTGTTGCTGTGCACACATTTGTTCCTTGGAAAAAACCAATAACTGGTAAAACAAGACTTGGTCACAGTTAGGGTGGAGTTAAGAGGATTGTGCAAGAACTTCAGTGTGTGCTGATACAAATGCGTCTGAGCCTCATTCCCAGCCTGAGTGGACAGCTACCTGTTAACCTCAGGTTCTCAGATTAGGACTTCTTCTCACTGCAGAGTGTGGAAATGCAAGCAGAAAAACAGGGTTTCATTTGAAATGTCGCTGGCAGGATTTCCGAGTTGTGTAACATGAACTGGCTTTCAGGAGGCAAAGCTGGAGCGATTCTGGAAACCTGTTGTCATAACAACTGTGAAGGACGGTATATAAAAACCCCACTCTGATGTGATTTATCATCACAGCCTGATTTTAAAACGCCCTCTACGAGAAAACATTGTGCACCAGTGACCCTGTGTGGGGAGTAGTACACGATTAAGGATTAGACAGAGTGCTGAAATTCAGATTGAATAAGCGGACAGATTCGACTCAAACATCGGGCTGTGTTGGAAAAGCACGTCATAAAACCCCGAAACACGAACAGCGAGTGCGGCATTCTGTGGATTTGAGGCTGTGTCCTGTAAACCTGATGAAATTCAGGCTGATCAATCACCGCTCACCTTGACGACGCTGAATCTTTGAAGCAGTCGAAGCTGAAGGCTGCAAGGATCCTCCAGAGCAGATCCATGCCGGTTCCTCTCATGGTAAAATCCAAATTTCATCGACCTGCTTTCTGCCCAGCTTCATGTTTTTCCTTAAAAGCGGAGTCTCTTTAAATTGAGATAGAAACAGTCTTGCGCCACCCCCTTCTCCCTCCACGCGATTTTACACAGACGAATGAAAACGAGGCGCGTTCGTCCTCATCACCATTATCATCATCATGGCCATCCGCGGGCGTCTGAAAGGACGTAAACAACGCGCAGCTTTCATTCCAAGCTGCTGTGCGCGCTGCTTTCTGCTCTCGCTTTTCCTCCTCCTCCGCAGAAAGAGGTGCTTCATTTGCATCAATCAGAGGCACACACACGCGCGCCTGACCCGATCTCACCAATGAGCTCAAAGTGGAGCAGGACACTGAAATGGCCTCAAAATACCTCGGGCTATAAAACAAACGGGTAATCTGGCACTTGCTGCTAAATCTGAACAAAACACATTCTCAGATCAAATCTGCAAACAGCCCCACGTGCCTGCAAGTGCTGCGTTTATTATGTTTATTATGCATTATAAAAATGTTTATAAATTTTTGTCCGTATTGAGCTTGTTGTGCAGTACATTAAAAATGTGCACATTCACAGGAACAGTGTATTTGAAAGCTTCAAATAATTTTTATCTGTTAACTCAGATATTTTATCCATTTATCTTAAACAAAAGATCACATCTGTAGTTTTTTAATTAAAAATAGGTTTTTCTTTGAATTTAGCATTTTATTTAGTGGTGCAATGACACTGCCGGTTTAGTTCATGTAGGTATTCATTGTTTGGGTTCTTTTAGACATTTTCAGCAGGTTTTTGCATTTTTTCAGATTTCTTAACAATGAATACCATCTCCCTTTTCCAGAAATACTCCAGCAGTTCTTTCACTTAAACAAAACTACATTTTAACTGTAATGTTTTGCAGGATTTGGCCACCAGATGGCGACAAATATTTATTCTTAACCTATATGAGTCATACTTTAGTTACTGGTTGTTTTATATTTCATATTTGAGGCAGGCTTGGGGGGAGAACCTCTCCAGGATGCGACAAAGACAGAACATGAAGCGGAGGTCTATAAAAACCTATATAATTCCTTTTCAATATTACAACACATGCATTAAAATAAAATCACGACTGAACTGTGGTTTCACTTGAAACGTTTGCTGGTTGCAGATTCTGAAATAAAAAGGAATTATTTAAGAAAACAGGTGCCTGAATTTATTTTGTCTTTACACAAATAAAAACATCTCCCTCAGAAACTGATGCAGAGTTGCAAGTTGGTGCAGGCTCAGAAAATTAAGAGTCTGGTGATTAACATTTCCTTCTCAGAGCCACCAAATAATTTTGCTCATAGTTTTAAATGTATCAGTTTTCAGGCAACAATATAAAATAATCCAATAACAATTGTCCTGCTTACTTTTAACTAGAGCACCACACTTGTTCTCTAGTTCTACTGAAAGAAAGAAAACCCTTAAATTCTTTGTGACAGTTTGAGTCATTCTGTGGTTAATGAAGGGTTTCAAAAATAGACACAAGGTCCAATATATTCACACAGATGAGGGCTGCAGTCTTACCCAGGCCGCTCATCATAAGTCCCAGTGCAAGCTTGCATAAAGTCTGTGTTTCCTCCTGGAGTGATTCATACAGCTTTTAGTGTAATGAATTGCAGATAAGTGCTGCCAGAAGCACAACATTAAACTGGCCCTGACTGAGTTACTGTGTGCAGGAAATTTGATCCTGTTCAGTAATTAAATCGCACATGAACTGGCATTTTGTTACAGCAGGCAAAGAAGATGGAACTGAACACAGTTAGATTCATCAGCTGCAGACAGACACGGACATGCACATGCTCTAGAGCTGCAGCCATCTGCCTTGACTGGTTTGTTCTGTATAAGTGATGGATTCATTGCAAAAAATGGGGGAGAAGACAAAAGAGCAATTTGAGCTTTGGTTCAAAGGCTGGCCTTCATGTTTGAGTATCCACCATTGTGACAGTATGGTCATGTTCCCTGATGTTTGTGTTCCCTGTCTCTGACTGCGTGCTAGTTTTTCTAATATATGTCCAATTCTGTTTCTTTTTTCTACCTTTTCTCTCCTTCCGATTGTCTGCCC